CAAGCTTTGAGAGAACAGGCTCTCAATCTGCATCCGCCCAAGTACCTGAAGCGCCCCCTTGACGTGATGAGGTGGTACATAACAGAGATCATGAAGTTTGAGAGCCAGGTTACCTCGAAGTTTCCCAAGCTTAAGATCCACAAGCAGAAAGCAGTCTTGGAAGTCTTGAAGCACCTTGATAAGGATGCCAAGCGGTACCTGCTGTTTACATCAGACCACGAGTGGTCTAGATGCTATGCTTCGAGAACTCCAGTTCAGTACAACAAGCAATTGAGAGCTCAGCTTCCAGAAGAAGCACCAGAACGGTGGCTACTTCAATGCTTTTGGTGCAGGCAAGGGTATTCCTCTGGTGCCACCAAATGCTAAGCTTGCATCAGTATTCCTGGGGATCTCTTGGCCTCTCAGGGCCACCTTACCAAGTCTCTCTCTTCTCAAAAGAAAGAGAACCCACTATAAGACCAAAATTCGGATTGAAAAAAAGAGCCTACAAAAAGCCTCCAGGTTATGTCCAATTTGCAGTATCGGCAGTCGTGTGCCCATTCGGCAGACTCATCTACTCCGTCGCCCATAAGCCTCTTACGTCCAAATCGCTCAAGAGCTTACGTTCAAGAAGAGAAGGACTTCCAGTGATTCTTGGGTTCGCGCACCAGCATCGGCAACTTCTGGAGTCTCGAGATCCACTATTCAGGGTTTAGGGTTCTTTTAGCTTTGGAGTTTCGGGTTTAGAGTTCAGAGTTTCTGCAGTTGGCTGGCCAGTGGAATTTCAGGTTGCAGCTTTCCCCTAAAGCCTAGAGTCTAAACCTCCAAGGGTTGGTTTAGAGTTCTGAGCTCTGAAGCCCGGAAGTTCAACCTCATAACTTCGAGCAAGGCGATTTAACGCACACCCTATAAACCCTAGACCTATATCCTAAAGGCCTAACCCTTAGCCCTATAAACTCTAAACTCCCCGTTTCGAGCTTTCTTGCGAAAAAACCGTGAAGGTTCTTTAGGGTTGAAATTGCGATTTGTTTGACCGAAAAAAGTTGGTTTTCGTGACCTCCCAAAGGTGTTGAAAACACTTGCATGTTTCGCACAGATTTGTTTTGGCATGGTGAAAGCGCGGGAGCTGCGAGGCCACACAAATTGGATCCTCTGCCTCTGCCAGGCCTGTCCGGAGCTTCTGGCGAGTGGCACGAAACCGTGCGCCTCTGGGACCTCACCAGCTGGACGACCGTGCGGATCCTCGAAGGCCTTCGCCATCCTTTGCAAGAACCCCGAGTAAGACCGGGGGGGAAGCCTAAACGTCGAGACACCGGCCTTTAACATCTTTATTTCAAATTCGCGAAGCAGTGTTGCACCATCTTGCGCAGAACCTACACTGGATCCTCATAGCAAGCTCATGCCGACTTTTTCGAAAATCTTGTTTGTTGTTGTTTGTGCTGGCCTTGCATTTCCGGCCGATCGTTCTTGTCTTTAAGCAAGCACTTTTCAAGCCACTGCCGACTCTACGACGAACAGATGAAGACACCTGAAGCCAAGGCTGTGTGTGCAACACACTTAACCCGTCTCAGTATCGACCACGACTGTCGCATCATGCGCTTGCAGATATTTGCATCTCAAAGAAGGCAACAAGCGCAAGACGGCTCCTTCGTCTCGAACCAGATAAACTGTCAACCAAACCGAACACCCGGCGAAACGGAGAGCTGCAAGATCTCTCGGGGGAGTCGCGTGCGCTCACTCCCAAGCAAGAGGTCTGGCTTGGCATTGCACCTTTTTCATCGAAGCTCCCTGCGAGTGATTTGCAAGATCCAAAGTCAAGCTTCCAACATCTCACGACAGGATGACAATCATTTGAGCCAACGAGCTCCGCATGCTGTCACGAGGTGCGGGTTCTCCGCCCGCAGTAGACGGACCCTTCGCCAATTGGAAAATGCGAGCTGCAGATCGCACCTTCGGTTCTGAAGTCGTAGCTGACATGAGCCTGCAGGTTCATACAGGTTGGACAAAGGGCCCACGGATGTGCATTGCCGTCAGCATGTGCTGTGATGGGCATTCCGTGAAAAACTTAAGGTCCC